TATAATATATTTTGGTATTGAGAAAAAATTTTAAAACAAAGTTTTACATTCTATGTTTCATTTGAAGGATTATTTTCTAATATAAAAAAAATGATGAAGAAATGTTTTTCTCTTTTTTACATGATTAAATAAGAAACCGATAGTCATTTGAGCATGTTCTGAAAGAGTGTTGGTAAAAGAAAACATCCACACCCTCAAGAAGACGAACACTGCTTTGAAATAGTAGCGCATATTACTGACAAAAGAGACAGTCATAGAATGATGAGATTTATCATATAATTTTTCTTTTTTGTTGAAGTAGAATAATATCAAGCCGTTTGATTCCGCTTCTTCTTTCCGTTGTTTATCGTGCCGGTGGCTAGATATGGAAGAAATATGCTTCACTAACTCACTGCTAGTATTTTTTTGTCGTTCTGTCGCTCGAATGAGGCAAACGCAAGAGAAAAATCGTTGCGTCGTTCTATTTTTCGTTTTTCGTATTGTTTTACTAACGGACGAACAATTTTCCTTATGGCTCTACCTCGCGTGAGTTACAAAACAACAAAAACGATTGCTACTTGTGTTATTTTTCGTATAATAAAATACGATACATTCAATCATTTACTTTCTTATCACATACGTCTCTTTGATTTAATAAAAATGGTAGCAACACAGTTAGATGCTACTATGGGTATGGGTGAATCTTATAATAAAAATTCCAAAGTGCAACTTAGTACCATTGATCTATCGATTCCATCTGTTCGAAAAGCAATTGATGCACTTGATGTTGATTGCTTATCTTCAGACCCATTCATTATTGCCGATTTTGGCTGTGCTCAAGGCCTCAATTCTCTTCACATAATGAAAATAATCATTAATTATCTCCAGCAAACGAACAAAAACATACGGGAATTATTAGTCGTTCATAACGATCTTCCAACAAATGACTGGACGTCGATTTTGAAACTTCTTGCCGATGATAATTCGTACAAGAGCGTTATTAGTGATCGTTCTTTTTATGAACAATGTCTTCCTAATAATTCTCTCTCGATTGGTTATACATCAACTTCGATTCATTGGCTTTCAAAAATGCCATGTAATCTCTCCAATCATTGCCTATGCTTTTTTGCTGTTGGTGATGAACTGGCTGCATTTCAGGATCAATCTCGTCTCGATTACATTCAATTTCTAGAGCACCGCTCGCATGAACTACGTCCAGGTGGTGTTCTCATTCTTGCGAATGTTTGTCTTGATAATCAAGGAAAAAGTGGACTCGAAAATGTAATAGATTTACTTTACAAATGTGCTCAACAAGCCTCTTTTACAGAGCAAGAATTACTCGATTATACAATTCCATTTTATGCTCGATCGTACAAAGAATTTGTCGATGAAGAACTTTTTACCCGATATTCCCTCGAAGTAGTTCAGTCAGAGTGTGTTCCCGCTTTCTGGTTCACACAATGGCGAGAACGACAAATGACATTAGATGAGTTTGCTCGTTTGATTGTATCGTACTTTCGTGCTTGGTCAGAGCCGACTATTCAACAAACACTAATAAGAAGTGGCCGAGCAAAAGAAGATATTGCAGAAATTCTGAATCAACTTTGGAACTTGTGCGAGCAAGAAATAAAACAACAACCGGATCACCTTCCTAGTTTGGTTCATCACGCTTTTATTATTTTAAAAAAGAAACTAGCAGTTGTTCAAGAATAAATAATCTGAATTAATCATCATCAATCCATCGAGTTATCATATAAAAGCTTGCAAAATTCGAATACTATTTATTTTTTAAATAAATGATGATTAATAGATCGAGAAATCAAAATTCTCTCTGTTGAAGGAACACTATACTCTTCAGGGTGTGGATATGTGTGAGTGTACGTGGAGAGAGAAAAGTTATCAACACCCATCCTTCACTTTATATTTTTTATGTAAGAGTTGAAAAAGAATTGTTTTTTTTTCCAACTTGATAAAAAACGAAATAATCTATTAGGTAAGAGGCCAATGTAAAAATTTGGGTGCGGGTGGGTATGCGTATTCTATTTCACCCGCGCCCACATCTACACCCACAATCATGCGCACATCCGCAGATTAGATTATCCAAATGAACGAGTTTGGACAAAAAGTATTGATGATATTGTAAGTTTGTTAAAAATGAAGGATGTATTATAATTTCTGTGATTTTGACTGCCAAAAAGTTACACCAAGTTATCAAAGAAAAGAGTGAGTCTTGAAGTGCTCAATAGTTTCGGAATACAATTCTCATACAATATGTGATACCGTTTCTAAAAGATGAAGATTTACTTCAAGACAACAATATTCATTTTGCAGGGAAAACTATCAGAAACGGAACATCGTCGTAATCTGAAGACTGAAAAAAACACATTTCAGATGTTTTGACAAGTATGGAGATGAATACTTAATTATTTGAAGCTCTTCTGTGTTCGCATCTTTGTGCTGTACAGAACGCTAACAGGCATCACACTTTAATACATAAATATTTTTTTGTGATAGACAACATTTTGATGCAGATCTAGTTTGAATTGTGCAATAGAACTGATCTTTTTTGCGTCAACATTATCTAAAATTTTCAAATCTTGTACTATTTAGTACTGACAGATCCTGTTTTTCACGGGCTTTAATTTGGTATGAAAATTTGCTATGGTACCTATTTGAGATCGTAGCGTTACCCTCTGGAAAAATATAAGAGATTATATATCGACGACGATGTGAACATTTTATTTGTTGTTCTGAGAATTTATTTCTCATATATTCTATTTCAAGATCGAATATTTACTTTATATAATATTTAAGAAATTTTTAAGCTATTAGAATAACACGTAAAAGATATATGTAGATAGAATATGAGCGCGGAATGAATGTAATATTAATTCCTAATCATAATTATCAATATATAATATATTTTGGTATTGAGAAAAAAGTTTAAAACAAAGTTTTACATTCTATGTTTCATTTGAAGGATTATTTTCTAATATAAAAAAAGATATTCTGAGCTTTCATAACATATAACTCTTATTTTTTTCAGATGAATGTCAATAGAATTTAATGTAGTAATTAAATAATTTTAATTACGAAACGTTTTTTTCTCTTCTTTACATAATTAAACAAGAAACCGATAGTCATTTGAGCACGTCCTGAACAAAAATGAATAATAATTATTAAGAAGAATGACACATCCACTTGAATGTGTTTCTTATAGAATAGTTCTAAAAGGACATTCAATTAAAATATTTCTACTATTTCATTCATTAAAATATTCTTCAGTTTTTTTTTCCTAATAGAAATAATGTTAAATCTTTCTTTTCTACAACAAATATTAACAAGATATGGTATGAGTACATATACAATATTAGGAAATATTGGTAATTTATTAAATATGATTATTTTCTATCAATTTAAACATCGAAAAAATCCATGTTCAATTTATTTATTATCAATGACAATATGTAATTTAATTTGTCTTAATACAGGAACTATACCAATTATATTGTCATTAGATTTTCCCGATATACGAACTCAATATTTATTTATTTGTAAAATTCAATTTTATATTCGTCATACTACAAATCAAATGATGCGAACATATAAAGTCCTTGCTTGTATAGATCGTTTTGCTTTAAGTAGTACTCATATTACCATTCGTTCATTTAGTCAATACAATATATCAATTCGTCTTATAATAATAACTGGAATATTTTGGTTAATCATCGGATTATTTTTTTCATTCATACGTAGTATTAAAATAAGTTTATGTAGTATTCATAATGATTCATATTTTTTAATTTATACAATATATTATATGATATCTGCTGGTATATTACCTCCAATTCTTATTCTTATATTTAGTATTTTATTAATGAAAAATTTAAAAGAAATGCGTGCACATATTCATTGTTTAAGACAAGGACGAAATGAAAAAATTCGACCAATAAATATTCTTCGTAAACGTGATAGAGATTTAATGAAAATGGTTTTAGTTGAAGTTATGTTTTATGTTATAAGTACATTACCATTTTCAATCTATCTTATTTATCGAATGATTACAAATGATAAGATGAAAAGTGAAAAACAAAATCAAATGGAATTATTTATTAATTATCTAACACAATCATTTATGATGTATTTAAATACAGTATTACCATTTTATATTTATATAACAACATCAACAGCATTTAGACGACAATGTAAAAAAATTATTATTAAATTTTATAGATTTATTCGAAGAAATAAATATAAAAAAAGTTATTTTATCTGAACAATAATATGAAATTATATCTAATAGTTTTGTTTAATTGTAATTTTTCTTTTATTAAAAATTAATAAGATGTAATGTATGAAACAACTATAATCATAAATGATACTTTAGCAGGTACCGATAATTATCTAAGCATTTGTCTTGAGTTAATCAAAAACAAGGTTTGTTTGTGGATTCATCGTTCTGTATTGTGAATAAATTTTCAGATGACTCAAACGCGTATACATGTATATGTTATTGGAGTGTCAAGAAAACAGTAACACACAATATGTTTATACAGAATAATACTATGAATGAAAACGTTTACAGTAACGCACATGTACATCGTTTGTTATGGTAACTGCCTCTCAAATATATCTTTTTTTTTCTACCTATATATCGTAAGTATAGGTAGAAAGCATTCATGCATAGTTACTGTATTAGAATGAGAGATAAATAAAAACACTCCTTTTTTTATTTCGTGCGCATAACTACCTATCATACGCATCAATTTATTTTCCATTTCAACCGTTCGTAATTATTTTCTAACGGTAAATATTACATATAATCATTTTAATGTAAAAGAAAATTTCTTTTCTTCATATTTGTATCTTGAAAGACAAAATCCCATCGTAAGAAATATAAGTGATTATTCACAGTGGATAATAATGTCAAATAGAAATGTTCCCGCAAATACGACAGAAGCAGTAATTCCATTCATTCATGATAAACAGATAAATTATCAACAACCTAAACTTAGCAGAAATGTTCGTATACAAACAGAATTAACTGCAATCGAACTCGATGATGAAGCGGAAAATTATCGAAGATACAAACGAACTAAAAATATTGGTATTCAAGCAGGATTTACAGATGTTAGCTTGGACGATCAACAACACTCAACAAATCCTAGAGCCAGAAGCAAGAATAATTCAACACACAAGTTCGATAGAACAGATAGAAATATAAATCGAGAAGGAACAGATTATCAAAGACAAACAATGATATTAGAAGAAGATCAAAAACTTACACAAACTGTTATTAAAGATATCACTAAAAGTGATGGAACAGAACCAAGTCCTATTCTAGGATATTCGGAAGGACCTCTGTTACCACTTGCACAAGCATGTGCTCCACTAACTGATATTTTTCATAATTTATCATTCTATGTTGAATTAGCATTGAAGGAAACTCCTGAACAACCACCCGATGGATTATCAGTTGATGAAAGTGCTGCAATTCGTCTTTATACCATTGAATGGGATAAACCTCATCGAAGTCTCTATTCAACACTTAATTTTAATCTTAAAAATAATGATCGTGAAGGTCTTCTACCTTTTCACAGATATCTCAAATTGTTCTTAACTGCTCTTGTTAAATTACCATGTGTTCCACCATTAACTGTTTGGAGAGGAGTCACTAAAAACTTAAGTGCAGAATTTCCACCGGGTACTGCTATGACATGGTGGGCATTTTCATCATGTACTACTGAAATGACTGTACTTGAAAATAATATGTATTTGGGACAAGAAGGTGATCGAACACTTTTTTCTGTTGAAGCTATGAATGGTCGAACAATCAAAGCACATTCACATTTTGTTACTGAAGATGAAATTGTTCTTATGTCTGGTACTCATATGATAGTTCAATCACAACTTAGTCCAGCAGCTAATCTATATATTATTCATTTGAAACAAGTAGAACCAGAAATAATGACACTTGAACGACCATTTGAAGGTATTTCAATCATTTATTATATATATGTATTAATCATATTTTTTTAATATTTAGGTGCACATATTTATCCAAAAATTCCGTAAGTCTCATCTAATTATTTTATTTGATGAATTTATTTCTGTTTTATTTATAAGACGTCCATTTTATCGAAAGAAAAGATTTATGATTCCAATTTGTTTATTGCTTACTCTATTTATTGCAGGTGTTATTATTGGTGTTATTTTGGGAACAAAATCAAAAAATATGACACCTTTAAGTATGAAATTTCGGCCAATGTATGTTTTATTATTACTGTTTTTTTTAGAATCTGTATGCAACAATCCATTTCAATCACAAGCTATTCCTGCCAGCACTGGAAATTATCCATCATCTGCTATACTAGGTTACTTTGATAGGGACACATATCTCGATGCGGCAATAGTGAATTCATACGAAAATAGTGTGACTGTATTGTTAGGAGTTAGAGATAATATTTTTCAAAGTACACGACCTCTTACGGGTGATCAACCATCTTGTATGATATCAATTGATCTGAACAACGATAAGAACATGGATTTGGTAGTGACTAATACAGCAGAAGATTCAGTTACGGTTTTATTTGGGTTTGGAAATGGACTTTTTCGAGCTCCAGCCGATTATGTAGTGGGTAATAGTCCAAATTTTGTAACATCAGCTTACCTTAATAATGATACTCTACTGGATTTAGCAGTAGTAAATCAAGATGATTCTACTGTTACTGTGCTTTATAACAGTGGCAATGGGCTATTTCTAAATAGTACAACCTTTTCAGTTGGTCAGTACCCATCGGTCATATTATCGGGCGATTTCAATGGTGATAGTAAAATAGATTTAGCGGTATCGTACAATTGGTCGCCCAATATTGGTGTGCTTTTTGGTATTGGGAATGGTTCTTTTAATGTTGAAATTACATATAATACTGGTTACTATCCAACTTCGATGGTATCTGCTGATCTAAATAATGACAACAAATTGGATTTGGTAGCAGCTAATAGTGTTGATGGCAGTCTCACTATACTGATTAATAAGGGAGATGGAAATTTTACGACTTCCACTCTTAATTCGATTGGCAATTCCTTAACTTCTTTAATAACTGCTGATTTTAATAATGACAGTTACGCAGATTTAGCAGTAACAAATGCCCCTTCGTACAGTATTAGTGTGTTACTTGGTAATGGAAATTCATCTTTTCAATCTACCATCTCGTATTACCTTGGTTACTATGCATTACATCTTGTATCCGGTGATTTCAACAATGATAATAACATAGATTTAGCAACAGTAAATGATTATGATTACAGTGTTAGTATCGCACTGGGCATTGGAAATGGTAATTTTGCAAGTGAAATTAAATATGAAACTAGTGTCTATTCAAAGTGGCTAATATCAGCTGACTTAAATAATGATCAAAATCAAGATATTGCATTGATTAATCAAAATAGTAACAATATTATTGTATTACTTGGTAATGGAAATGTAAATTTACAAGCTCCACTAAACAATACCGTCGGTGCCTATCCGAAAAATGTTATCTCAGCTGATTTCAATAATGATAGTAATCAAGATTTGATAGTCGTCAATCAAAATGATAGTACAATCGATGTACTTTTTGGGCGTGGAGATGGTTTTTTCGATACAGCAATTAACTACACCGTTGGTACATTACCCTCCTATGTAATATCATTTGATGTCAATTCTGATAATATACTCGATTTAATCGTAACAAATCTTGGAGATAGCACAATAAGTGTGTTACTTGGTACAAAAACTGGAACTTTTCAAATTCAAGATCCATATCCGATTAACGGATCTTTAACTTGTCTTACATCCGCTGATGTAAATAATGATGGGAAACAAGATTTAATAGTAACTAATGGAAATAATAATACAGTTATTGTATTATTTAATACTGTAAATGGAACTTTTACATATTCAAATGATTATAAAGTTGGTCGAACACCAAGTTTTATAACCTCGGGTGATTTTAATAATGATAAAAATATCGATTTAGTAGTCGCTAACTCTGGTTTTAATACTATCAGTGTACTTATCAATAATGGCAATGGAACGTTTGGTAATGCAACAAATATTGCAGTTGGAAAAAATCCATATTTTATATCAGCTGGTGATTACAATAATGATGGAAATATAGATTTAATAGTAGTCAACAGTGGCAGTGATAGTCTCAGTGTATTGTTGGGGTATGGAAATAGCACTTTTCAAAATCAGCTTAGGTATAGAACAGACAATCAACCAACTTCCGTAGCAATCGGTGACTTGAACAAAGATAATAAATCGGATTTAATTGTTACAAATGCTAAAACTAACGATTTATCTATTTTTCTCAACATATGCTAAATTACTTATGAAACTACAGAAAAAAAATTTTGTTTTTTTTAAGTTATCATTATTTTAACGAACAAATAAAAGCTCCATTAGATAATTATTTAAATTGAACAGCGGGGGTGACTATGATAAAATAATGATAGACACTTATGTTCTTAAAAAACACAACACTTTTTTTTTATATTTATTTACAATATTGTTGATAAAATACTTGTGCAAGTCTTTGATAACCATCAGAAGATGGATGAAAACCATCGAAAGAAACATATTCAGGATGATCACCTAATTCTTTCCAATGTGAATGTAAATCAACGAGATCACATCGATTTTTTTTAACAATTTTTTTAATTGCATCATTCCATCGTTTTACTTGTAATGTTAATAACAATTTAGGGATTCCAAGTGATGTATAAATATGAACTTTACTTAAATCAGGAATATTTCCAACAAGAATTCGTGTATCTAAACCGAATTTAGCTCGTAATTGAGATAACATATCATTAAGATCTGATGTATAACTAGTTAAAATTGATCTATCATATACTTGTTGATTAAAATCATTAACAGCTAACCATATAGTTATAACATTTGGTTTTTGATCTAATACTCGTGGTAATTGTTGTTCAATTGCATCATTAAGAGTTGATCCACTACGACCAAGATTAATCGTTTGTTCAGCTGATATTAATGATGCAAATTTTGGAACCCAACCATCTTTTGAAGGATTAGATGTTCCAATACCAACTGCATCAGATGCACCTATACTAATATACTGATTTACTTTTGTTAAATGAGACGATTTTTTGGATATCTTCGAATCCATTTGATTACCCATTTTATGTTATTCAAAAAAATTGAATTATGATTAGCAGAAAAAAATATAATCGCGTTATATATACGTCTATACAATTTTTCTTTTTCTATTCTAGAAGAATTGAGTGCACACAAATGACGTTTTTTTTTCTTTCTTTTTCCATTTACAAAGCAAACATACGAGAATATTCGTATGTTTCGATGCACTGCTCTTATGAATATTTTAAAATAATTTTTTTACGCCATAATAAAAAAAAGAAATTTTACTCAATAATACATTTTTTTCATATCGAAATAAAGAGATTATTTATTCATTTGATAAAGTTATTATAAGAATAAAATAAATAAATGGTTATTGTTGTACGGATCTTTATCGAGAAATTTTAATTAAATGGGTAAGAATCTTTGGATTCTATTGTTATTGGCATCGGCGACATACAAATATTTTTCGTCACTGTCCATAGTAAGGGTTGTTGGAGTATTGAGAAGAAGTGCAGTGGTGCCAGCTGTACCATTACAATCACCTATTCGAAAATGAGAATAAATTGTTGTAATTAATTATCTTTTATAACGAATATTCATTTAATTACCTGCAATCGTTTGTCCTTCGGAATCACCAAGATACCATCGTACAATTCGATTGTTTACTGTATCTGCGATATACAGTGCATTGATACTCTTTGCAAGATAAATACCACTTGGTAGATTTAACTGACTATTTAATGAAAAATAATTTATATAGTTAGTTTAATTATAAAGCTTACTTTCGTCCTTGACCGACACCATTTCCACCAGCAACCACTGTGCCAACCGATGAGTTCATTGAGTACCGGAGTATGCGATTATTAAATGTATCAGCTACGTAAAAAAGACCTTGTGTCTCGTCCAGTGTAATATATTGGGGGTAGTAAAGATGAAGACTATCATTGCCTGGCACGCCGGTTACACCAGCCAACACGACACCTGCAGTAGCATTGGCTTTCCAGAACATGATGCGATGATTACTCATATCAGCAATATAGAAATTTCCTGCTGAGTCCATGCAGAAAGAGGCAAATCCCGCAAATTGCGTTAAATTTGATCCGCATGTACTACCAAATACTGTTTGTGTTGTCAATGATCCATTATGGTATCGTGTCATAAGACAGTTAAGAGCGTCAAGAACAAATAAGTTTAGAAGAGAAGTATCATAAACAACTCTTCGAGACATTAACCAAATGTTATCTGGTGCGACTAATACACCAGTGCTTTTGTTAGCATATACACGAAGTACTCGGAAATTGCCGCAGTCTGAAATCAACATAGACTTATCACTATTCAATCCAACATACCAAGGGAAAGATAATTCTCCGAGTGAAGTGCCTGATGTACCATTTGCATTTCCAAACACTGTCGTACCCACAAGAGCTAAACTCACTGAAATAAATCGAGAAAAAAAATACATACAAATCCTAAAAATTTATTTACCTGCGCTACAATTATAAGCTACTGTTGTCGGTGCAGAAGTAGTTGTAGAATATTCATCGGTAGTTTCTATTTGAGATGATTGAGAACGAAAGTAAAATAGCCCATTGACATTGATCATCCACGAAAAATATGTGTCGGTCACCGATGCATTTGAAAAGAGTTGACAGGTATTGTTGGTGAAATAATTGAATGCAGAGATATTTGATGATATCATCATTGTACAAAGGCACTCTTCTTTCGTACCAACCATTATGCTTGAAGATGAGGATGTTAGACGAGTTACAGTAGTATTAGGTATCAATCCAATTGTGGTTGAATGAACATGATGCAAAATAAAACTGAGGAATAACCATAATTTCATTTTGAGTCGATTTGAAAATAAAAAAAATGAAGAGTTCTACTGTGCTGACGACGAAGAATAAATGGAAAACTTAATATGAAAAATATATTTTTTTGTTATTCTTAGTGTCAGTAAACAGAATTGAATGCATACAAAACAATACTTGATATCGAGGGGGAGAAAGCTTTTCTACACTTTACATTTGAATAAATTATGGCAATTAAGGATGAGCACCTTGTTTTTCTTTTACAGTAAAAGCGATGCACGTGATCACATGATCAATATTGCTAAGTTTTTATTTTAACACTAATTTATAAAACATCAAAACAATTTTTGCAGAATATGGATATGAATGAAAGACTTTCAGTTCTACATTTTCTTTACTAGTATTTAGTCGTGATTCAACCACATTGTTTTTCTATCAATATTTTTTATAATTTCTATAAATGAATGAATAAAGAATCTAAGTTTTAATTATTTATTGAATGCTTTTATACAAAAAACACAAGACTAATATCTATTTATAATGAAACGTATGATAAAGTATTACTGATTTGTTGAGTATGTTTTACATTATTCTATTATTATTTTCAAGAATGATCAAGTTTTGCCAATTTTTTCGCATACAATGATAGCTTTGATGCAGATTATTAAGGAGTGGGTATAGATAACATAGCAAAATTCACCCACCCTTTTCTTTTATTTCTCATCATTTTTCTTCTGTACTAATTTGATAGACTATGATTATAATCTTTCGCTCACTTTTACTCTTCTTTTTTCTTCAAAGCTACTCAGATTTCGAAGAAAACTTCTTAGCCTTTATATATTATGAAATACACTCAACGATGAGTACTCATAAATTTGGCGAGGAAGGTATGGGGACTCATCATTCATCTTAATTTACATTCTCATCCCTACGCAGTATTTGCTTTGTCTGAGAACAAAATTTTATGAATAACTGAAAGATTGCTGCTGGTTTTTTTCCAACGTGTAACTGAGAAATAAATATTATATGATATCAGCTAGCAAACTTCGACAAAGATAATAAATCTTTGCTTGGGTATTTTATCGAAGTAATATTAACATTGTTGCTTATCAGTTAGTGAATCATTTCGTCATTTATTGTTATAATACATTTAA